GGCCAGGCCAGCCCCGAGCACCTGGCGGGCGCATTGAAATGCGTGTTGGGGACCACTGCTCTAGGTAGTATCTGCCCATGTTCGTCTTGTCACTGCATCCTCTTCAGGACACTGCCTTCTGGCAGTGTCCACTCCAGTCTCTCTGCACCCCCTTCCAGGGGAGGGTGTTGTTTACTCCACTGCACTTTCCAGGGTCCTCCCCTCCCCAGGGGCCCCCAGTTCTTCTCCCAGGAAACACCCAGTTACTCTGCACCCACCTCACCTCAGTGACCCACTGTCAGTCTTTATCTAGCCCCTGCCTCAGGGACAAGCTGCAGTCCATAATGGCCACTCATCACTGGCAAAAGGGTGTGGGCCTGCTGCTCCTGCCTACCATAGCTGCCCCACACAGCCCCAGGCCTTGCTTCAAGCCCTGCAGCCTGGGAACTTGCCTGGCCAGAACCTCTTGTGCTCTGCCTTCCTTCCCCAGCACTGCTTTCGCTCCAACAAGCCTCTGCTTCCCTGACTGTCCAGAGCCACAGTCTATTCTCCCCTCTTCTGCCTTCCTGGAGTCTATTATATAGCCCCCAGCTGGGTCCTCATTAGTGAGGAATGCCTCAGCTGGGGCTTCACTGCAGCCCTTGCTCAGGGCAGGGGTTTTGCCCTTAAAGGGCCAGTGCAGGGCAAACGTCCTGTCACTGGTGGGTTGAATTTTCTTTTGCGTGGGTTGAAATTTCTTATGTGCAACATCAAAATTGAAGTAGTGTGTGGATGTGCACCCACCAGTACATACAAAAACCATAGATACAAATATATATTTTAAATAGTCTATAGGCATGGAAGAAAATATATTAAAAATAGGGATAATTAACAATGAGCAATGCTTATGATTATTTAATATGAAATCAAATAAAAAGAAAATTAACACTACCCTTGGCTGAAGTGGGTTGTGCCCACAAAAGCTCATGATACTATTTATATGTTTTTGTTAGTCTAAGGTGCTACAGGACCATTGTAGGTTTTTTTTAGTTACAGACTAAAATGGCTACCCCACCGAGATCTTAGAGTACATGTATCATCATGTTTCTAACAGACAGATGAATGTTTCAAAGATCTTGAAAATAAGGTTTCATCCTACTAAACAGCTAGCATGACACCTAGTACTTGCTGCTTCTGACTCAGAAGAGACAGAACTCTACCAGATAGCAAAATTCTGGCTTTAATGCTATACAGTTTACCATGTATTAATTAGTAACAGAGAATTTTAAAAAAATCTTTAAGATCAGAGTTTTACATATCTGCAACACTCAAAAAATCTGTTAAAAGGATTTTCTTTCTTACCTTAAGCCATTAATACAGGGGAGACACTCCAAGAATTTAGTAAGTGGTTGATGGCCACATTCTTCCATTATATTAGTGGAAGAGGTGTGGGGTTCTGGGATGGAGGTTGGGTGCAGAAGGGAGCTTGGGGTAAGGGTTTGGGGTGTGGGATCTGGGACGGAGTTTAGTGAAGTAGGGGATTCTGACCTGGAGCAATGGGCTGGGACAAGGAGGGGGGTACAGAGCTTGGGAGGGGGTTGTGACCTGGGGCAGGGCTACAGGAGGGGGGGCATGGATTTGGGCTGTGACAGGTATAGAAGATTGGGGTGCAAGGTCTGAGAAGGGTGTGTGACATGAGGAGAGGTGTAGGAGGGGATGCAGTGTCTGGGAAGCTATATGGGGGCTGGAGCAGGGGTGAAGAAGGTTTGGGTTACATGAGGTAGGAGAACAAAAGGGAGGACAGAGGGTTGGGGGAGGGAGGGAGAAGCTGGGGCGCCAGAAATAGGCTCTGGCTGGGAGACTTTATCTGGCTCCAAGCCAGCAGTCCAGCAGGTTTCTTAGCCAGGGTCCCTGCCTTCCAGCCCCTGTACATGCTCAGGGGAGCTGCAAGAGCCATGTCTATTGCTCTAAACTGAATGCTGTGAGCCCGGGGGATGAGGGAGTGGGCACTTCACATGCTACCTGTCCTATAAACAGGCAGCTGCTATTGGTCGAAACCAGCAATGGGAGCTACTGGGGGTGGGTGAAGCGTGAGGAGCCTGCCTCCCCTTCCTCCAGGCTCTCAGTGTTCACAAACACACATGTTGCCCTGCACCCGGCTTTCAGGAGTGCCAAATGGGTGCGGGGAAGGCAGGGAGCCGACAGATGCCCTCGTGGCCAGATCTGGCCTGTAGATCAACTTTTGCCCATCCCTGGAGTAGAAGCTGGAGCAAGTTTCTCCATTTATAGCAGGCAGCAGCAGCAGTTGCTGCTGCTTCTGTTCCCACAAGAGGGTGAGTGCCCCACCCTCCCCTTCCCCAGGCAATCAAAGAGGTCTGTCTGTGTGTATCTGCATGCCTTTGACTAAGGGGTCAGCTGCCAGAGACTGCAGCTTGTTTTTCTCTTCTTTTTCAAGCAATTTTGCGGCAAAAGTCTTGGCTTGACAAATCCCTGGCTGAGTTGATTTAGTTGGGATTGGTCCTGCCTTGGGCATGGGGCTGGACTTGATGACCTCCTGAGGTCTCTTCCAGCTCTATGATTCTATGAAAAGAGCATGGGGTACCCCAGGTGTGAGTTCAAGTGTTCACTACTCTTTTTTTACAGATAAAAAAAACACTTGATGGTGGCAGCAAATTTCCCAAAATCTGTGTATTAAGATTCTAAGGGGAAGTTTTTGTAACAAGTGCCTGTAAAGGCAAGGTTTGGAAGCTGTCTTGTGGACCCCCACCTTCTGCATTTGGAGTGTCAGAGTGGGGAACAGCCTTGACAGAGCCATTGTGGGCAAACTACAGACCATGGGCTGTATGCAGCCCATTGGGTTTCTGTGTGTGGCCCACGAGACATTTTGTTTACTGTTGCTCATATGCAGGGTTGCCTGATTTCACTTGTTTCTGTCCATGCAGTTATTTTCCTATCAGTATTGCTAAAGTGACACACATGTAAGGCAAGAGCACGTGAAGCGAGGTGCGTGCTGACTGCACACAGCATTGACTGAGAACTGTGCACTCCCTGGCTACGTCTAGGCTGGCCCCTTCTTCGGAACAGGCATGCTAATTTCGAACTTTGGAATAGGGAAATCCGCGGGGGATTTAAATATACCCCGTGGGATTTAAATAAACATGGCCGCTGCTTTTTTTCCGGCTTGGGGAAAAGCCGGAAAAGAGCGTCCAGACTGGCGCGATCCTCCGGAATAAAGCCCTATTCCGGAGGATCTCTTATTCCTACTTGAAAGAGATCCTTGAAAGTAGGAATAGAAAGTAGGAATAAGAGGGGCTTTATTCTGGAGGATCGCGCCAGTCTTGGGATTTAAATAAACATGGCCGCTGCTTTTTTTCCGGCTTGGGGAAAAGCCGGAAAAGAGCGTCCAGACTGGCGCGATCCTCCGGAATAAAGCCCTATTCCGGAGGATCTCTTATTCCTACTTGAAAGAGATCCTTGAAAGTAGGAATAAGAGATCCTCCGGAAAAGGGCTTTATTCTGGAGGATCGCGCCAGTCTGGACGCTCTTTTCCGGCTTTTCCCCAAGCCGGAAAAAAAGTGGCGGCCATGTTTATTTAAATCCCGCGGGGGATATTTAAATCCCGCGTGGATTTCCCTATTCCAAAGTTCGAAATTAGCATGCCCCTTCCGAAGAAGGGGCCAGTCTAGATGTAGCCCCTCTGCATTCAACCCAAGCACTGCTATGGTTCAATCAGCACAACCTGCACATTTTTGCTATGTAAGCACAGTTAGCAAAACTACCATCATCTGGGAGATTGTCTTGGTTAAAGCAATCTTGAGGCCCACTGAGATGGAGGATCACTCATGGCCCACTCATTAGCCTAGGTTGCCTATCAGTGCTTTAGAGGCCACCCCTCCTTTGAGAAATCATCCAATGTTCGCAGCTACATAAGATATCCTGAAATATCTTAAGACACTTACAGCAACTTCTCTTACTACTTCTCTTCTTCCCTTATGGACCAACCTGTGCTTCAGGATACAGGCCAACTCCATGCTTCAGATATTTTGGATGAAAAAAGGGTTAACAAAAATTAAAGATACAATACAAGATGGCAGACTGGCATCCTTCAATTACATATATAATAAATATCAGCCACTGCTGTCCCACAGTTCCTTCTTTCAGTGGCTATGTCACCGGTGCACAGGCTCGGTGCTCTGGAACAGCTCTGAATGAAATGCAGAGACCACCCTCTTCAGTGTAATAGCCCCTCAGGGCACTCGGGGCCTGGCTTCAGTGCTTCCTGGACTGAGATCGGAGCTTTCAGCACCCTTCTTCATGCTGTGAGCTCCCCACAGTGAGTGCACCACCTGAGCAGGACACCTGGGAAAATTTTCTTCCCCGCCCCAAAAGACCATGCACCACAACTTCCAGTCAGCAGTGACTCTCAGCCAGCATTGTGAAACAAAAGAGTTTATTTGATATGTTCCCTCCAAGCTGTGCAGCCACACAGCAGCCTATTAAAACACCATGTAGATGCTCCAGGGCTATAATGGGAGAGAGAGGCCTCTGCTAGCAAGCTCCAACCCCAGCCCTGGCACGGACCTGCCAGGCCCAGGAGAGAGGCGCCCTTTCCCCAGCCCCAACCCAGCCCTGGAGCCTCCTGTGGCAGGGAGAAGCCCTCTCCTCACCCAGACTAGGTGCTGCTGATGAGAGAGAGAACTGGGGGGGGAGCCGACTCTCCCCACGATAGCCCTGGAGCAGCCTGCACTCCAAACCTCTATCCCCGGCAGAGCACACATCCAAACCAGAGCCCTCATCCCCACACCCCACAATCCTCTGCCCTAGCTCTGAGCCTCTCATCCCAGCCCTACCCCAGAGCCTGAATCCCTCCCCCTACCAGAATTCTGACTTCCCCATATCCCAACCCTTTGCCCCAGCCCTGACCCCCTTCTCACACTCTGAACTCCTCAGCCCTTCCCCACCACATAAATTTTGTTATGTGCATCAATATAGAGGTTGTGTGTCACACATTACTTCCATATTGGTGCACATAACAAAATTTGTTCCGCACATGTAGCATTTGTAACTAGATATTTGCATGCTCTGGGCAAAAACTTAATTATGCACCCTCTCTCCTTAGGTTAGCATGAGCTTCACTCTACTTTTGCATCTTATTATTTTTTACTTATTGCATCTTTGTGCCTCTGATTATGATGTGTCTGAGGCAAACACCCCACTTGCTCTGCCCTTGTTACGGCCCTCTGCATATGTGTGGGAAAAATTAGAGGGAACAGTGTTTATTAGTCATCTGGAACACAGTGTAGAACAGTTCCAATTAGCATAGAAAGCATGAAGTTACAGCAAAAAAAAAAAACCTTAAAAAAATGATCTTGTAGCATCTTAAAGACTAAAAAAAATATATAGCTATATAGTATCATGAGCTTTCGTGGGCACAACCCACTTCCTGGCTCTCCTCCCAACTCCCAAACCAGGAGAAAGACCCACTTACAACAGACCAGTCAGGCAGTTGCTACTCATCCATCCTTCATGTGTTCCCCAGGCAAACCAGCCACCCTGGCTCACACTTCATCACTTTGTTCTCATTGTTAGCTGGCTCCGGCAAGGTGTGTGTGTGTATGTCAGTTGCTAAGTTACTAAATGTCTGCCCATTGTGTAGGTCCGTGGTGTCCATCTGAAACAGTAGTGACTACTGCTATAATGAACTAGCCACACTCAACTGGTCAAATAGCTACATTGTTCAAGACAACTAGCCACACTCAACTGGCCAAACAGCCACATGTGGCTAGTGTGTTGGACACCACGGGCTAGGTCTAGGAAAATGGATGGCAGTCACAACTGCCCCCTTTTCTCACATATATACTCTGTCCCTCTACCTAGGTAAACATGCAGCACATAGGGGAAACTAGGCATGCCCCTACAAAGCATTAAGAAACTTCCCAGTTCATCACAAGCTACACTCAAGAATTCATACAAGGGTAGGGGACAATTGGTCTGTTTCAACTCTCACCTCTAAAGAAAGATGCTAAGAAATATGGAATCAAAAGCTGCTTTGTGGGAATTGCTTTTAGGTCGCTTAATGCTTTGCATTATCCATTTAGTCACAGACAAAAATGGGAAAAGGAACTTATCCTCTGAAATCTCTTTTGAGGTAGGAAGGCTATCTGGCTCAATGGGAAGGATACTGAAAGTTCTTTAGTCTTGTGATTATTCCAGAACAAGCTATAAAAAGGTACTATAGGATCCAGAATACTTGCTCAAGGCTAGACTGACAACACACAGCAAACATAGGAGATGCAAAGAGCTACGTGGCAGCCTTTTATCTTTCTGGAAGGATGTATCACATCACACTGAAGTGACACCAGCTAGTCTAAAAAGTATGCACGCTACAAATTATGCATATCTGAGGTTTTCATCCACAAAATAAATTAGGGTGGAATCCAGATTTGATGGTTGGAAAATATTAGATAGGATGGGTTGACCAGAGATTGAGTCAAGGATGTTGTGTCATGTTAGTTCATGGAATGCTACAATTAAGTCCAAAGTAAAAAGCAGAGGAAACAGACTGCCAAATAATGCAGTAACAGTAGTATAACCAGAGAATTTGTTTCCCCTCGGGATTAATGCAATTCCTAATACCGTTCTTCTAACTATTCTCATGATATGGTAATTTTTCAAATTTCATAAAACACCTCCGACACCTATAATTGACCATCAGTCATCAAAAGGTCAAGGTGCTAGTGGCGGTTTAGTCTTGTCTCAGAGAAGATAGATAATTATGAATGGACATGAGCTGGAAAAACATTTATTACTGTGTATTTTAGTTTGGAAAATGGAATTAACTCATATCCCAGCTGAGATTTTGTTCTAGTCCACACTAGTAAATTAGGTTGATTTAATTACATTGGTTGGGGTGTAAAAATCATCATTAGTTAAGCCGACCTAAATCCCCATACAGCTAGCACTAGGTTGCAGGAAGAATGATGAATTTGCAGTCCTAAATCAGCTGGACATTGCAATGCTGAGTGCAGCAATGTCTAATACCTTTAAAAATGCTGAAAAGAGCTAAATAATAGACTGGTGGGTAACCTTCTCTGGATGGCTTGAAACACTTGTGTTAAATTTTGCAGGGAATATTTAGTAAATACTATGTTACATTATTTGATCAATTCCTTTTCCATGTCTGCAAAGGTTGATCAGCAGATATACTACTGCTATTTATGCATTTAATTTAATACTCATTATGTGGTTTGAACATAATCTGTTACCAAGTTTCCAAATAAATTGAATCTAAATATCTAATCCTGTGGTTCTATTTTTTTTAAATTTCCTGTTCAGCTTAATTAAATTAAAGGAGACAGAAAACTGTATCTCTAGCTAATGATGATTTGATTTCTTGGCTTCAGATGATGGCAAACTGTCTTTTGAGGAATTCAAAGCATACTTTGCTGATGGAGTCCTGAGTGGAGAAGAATTGCACGAGCTTTTTCACACCATTGACACACACAATACTGAGTAAGTATCTGCAGCTTACAAGAAAGAGCTATGTTCTGTATTTGGGAAGAAGTTTAATTCTGGCAAAAAAAAAGTTTAATTCTGTTTTTATACAAGAGTTATTTCAGGTAAATTATACTGTGAGGAGCAAAACTTCTCATGAGCTGATCAGTGACACATATTTAAGTGTACACATGTTTAGCCACCTTGAATATTTTAAATAGAAAGGCAGGGTAAAAATATTTAAATAAATAATAATAATAATAATAATAATAAAAGTGTCCAAACATGCAGAAATATAGTCTTGCAGAATGGGGTGTTGGCATCAAACACTGTGTATATCCTCCCACAAAGGCACAAACTCTATGGATCAATCCAGGATGACCCCAAAATTGGGCAGCTGTCTATTCCTGTTGTACACAAAAGCACAATTCAGCCAACTCTTAGGATTAGGGCCACTATATATAATAAGGTATGCATTTTTATATTCCATCTTCACCATGGCAAATCACACAGGACCATGGCCTCCTTGCCAACCAGATTAATTTCCAGCTCAGTGGCTTGGTTGTCTATTCAGTTTATGCCCATCACTGGCAATTTTATCATGTCATTTGTGTTTTTATCATGCTCACATGATTACTGGCTCTGTAACAGCATTCCTTGGTACACACACTTTGGAATTCATTGATCTTTTGTTCTAACTCCACTCTTTTTGAGTTATCACAGAGATGGTCTCAAATTTCTTTATAAGGCGAAGAAAAAAGTATATTTACTTTTCCCTGCTCTGAGCTCTCAAAAATGGCTAACAGGATTTTCAGTTTTCAAAAATCTTATTTTTGCACTGAAATAAACACAGAAAGTTTAAGACCAAAACAAGAAAGTTACAGATAAGAAAAATGGGATTACAAATCACCTTGCAACCTTAACGACTATACTTCTGGTACATTCTCCTATGCATCCATGTGGATGGCAGACAGGAAAATGCCAATGTTGTAAAGGTTAAGAAAAAAGAATAATCATACATGACTTACTTTTTGGCTTTCTGACTTAAAATTTCAACCTTTACAATATGTAAACTGTTATTTTAAAATGTAATTGATTCTTGGCCCTTGAACTATGACTCACTGAATCAAAGCATATGTCAGATCCAAATAATCTGTGAACCTCCTTCCTCCCACAATTGCTAAATTTACATTTGATAAGGAAGAAAGGCAACATTTTTTATTGTGATTATGTGAACCTAAGCACTGGAACAATGAATCCATTATCTCTATTAGCATTGTTATATCTTAGTACAGTAAAAATTCTGTTTTCCAGCATATTGGGGGAATAGGGAGTGCCGGCTAATTGAATATTCTGGTTAACTGAGAGTTATACTTTAGCAGTGGAATACCTGTTTTCAGGAATTAAGAATACAATAAAATGAATAAAGTATAAAATAGTATAAGTACTCTCCAATCCAATAATACTGCTACACTGCAGAGAGGGTGATTTCTTGAACACTTGTGTATATACAGGTATTTTTTGTATAGTACGTTACTTTATGACACTACATATCACTATGGGCACTTCATGGTGTTCACCCAGATCATTAAAAATACACTTAGCACCAAATCTATACAGAATATAATGTATTCTTTCTTTAATTATTTAGACAGCACTTCAGGATCTTTCAGTGCCTCAAAGTCATCATTATCAACATCAAATATTATTGTAGATATGGAAAATGTAGGAGACTGGGCTGAATCTGTAATCACCCAATGATACACCTTGGAAGCTGCTATTTTTTAATAAATCCCTGAAATAAGTTTGCTTACTTGTCTTCTGCCTCTTTTCCACAAAAACAGAGTGCAGAATATGCAATTGCATGATATACTGCCCAGCACTTTAGTCCTAGATTTCAGACTGAATATTTGTACTATGATATCAGAAATGCTGGTTAGCTGAGTTTTCTGGTTAACTGAGTGCCGGCTAACAGAGCTTTTACTGTATTTTAAATAAGCTCTCGTCTGTTTTGTAAATCAGTTTTTGTTCCAGTAAAGCCCTTTCCCTCCCAAAGTGTGTTGGGTTGTAATACTTTTAAAAAACATCACTACAGCCCCAATTTCCCTATATATGCTAGCATTAATTTAATTTTATGCACATGCTCAAAATATCCTTGTTTAGGAAAGCACTTTCAGCAAGGGCTTAAGCATTTGGCTGCATTGATGTCGAAGGTATTACATTGTGTTTCTTGCATCTCTCTTTACCAAGTTAATTGAAGATAATGATATTAAAGTAAAATTATTTTATACCCCATCATAACTTTACAGTAGATTATTAGGTTGTATGACTCAAAAATGGTTTTCTTATTATCTGCCTGAATAGTGTAGTCAGAGGGGAGGAAAGGAGAGAATATACTGCACAAACATCAATAATTTGGGAACCCACTTTTAAACATAACATTGATTGTAGGGGAAGAATATAAACATCTGTGAATGTTATACGCCAAATCTTGGTCCAGCTAGTGCAGCAGTACACGGGAGTATGGGACTGCAAGGTGACCCACAAACAAGTACAGGAGGGAAAGCTCTTCAGAGTGACTATGTCTCTACTCTATGCAGGGGGCAGGAGGAAATGGGGAAGGGGTGAAAAGAGAACAGACATTTAGCTCTGTCTCCACAGTGTACGTGGTAACATAGCTGTGTTGGTATCTCAATGAATGTAGGCTACAACAGAAAGAGACCTAGTGCAGGCTACTTCTCCCTGTAACAATGGTGACACCCAGGTTAAAGCACAGCAGCCACTACCCCTAACCTATGACTGGTAGCAATATGTCACAATGTAGCCCTATGATCGGGTTGGCCAATCAATCATGTTATCCTGAAGTACAGTGTGCTGCATTTTTTCTTTACAGTGGCATACATATCACCCATCAGATCTTCTCACACACCATTGCCTGCACTAAACCAACGTGCAAGGCCTCTTTCATGGACACTCATTAGAATCACGCTATCAGCAGTTCCTCAGATATTAATTTCATTTTGTTGGAATTGTAAAAGTTAACGCATTTACTCTAGGCCACCCAAGCACTTCCTTGTCCCAGGCTTCAAACACACTTTTCTGAAAGCATGCTTTTTTGCCATAATAATAGCTCTATGCACCACTGATTCATTAGGCCAGGTTATGCTAGGTTTTCTGGGACCATCTCTATTTCCAGGCTGTTACTAATTCTGAGCTCTCAAATGCAGTCTTAATTTTAATGTAAATGACAAGGAGCCCATGCTTCTATCCACTGGGAGTCTCTGAAATAGTTCTTGGTTACAGTGAGTAACTGCTGGCGCTCATTACAAATGCAAATATTCCTGCTACTGCCTTCTACCATTGCACAGTAATTGTTCTAATAATGGCATCCTTGAGAAATGCTGTCAAAAGATGACAAGAATATCTGTCAGGGTTACAAAATAAGAACTGCCATCAGACGGTAACCGGGCTTCTACACTCATGACTGTCAAGAAGGATGCAGTATGATAACTGCATCACTCACCGTTGACTGAAATGGGCCAGTGGGTAATAATTCTTGAAGATTTATGTTCACATTTTTAGCTGCAATCTGCTGCACAAAAGGAACAAAAACTGTCTGCAAAACCCCAGTGGTGGAGAGCTGGCATAGCTAGCACCTCACTATGTGAGGGATACAGCAGAGCTGGGCAGAGAATCAAGGTAACCAGCTTCCAGCTGCTCCTTTTTGCATTGAGCAGATCATGGATATGGTAGATAATTTGTCCCCCTTTTAATACTCATGAAAGATACCAGATTAACATGCCTGATTATCCAATTCCTGTGTGTGATCACAAGAAGGACCTGGCAAACTTTTCCTCGCTGCCTTTCTAATGTGCCCAAAACTTGCTCCATACTGACAACATATAGGGCCAACCTCTAGGACTACATCAGGCCTCTAACACTGGGCAGGTATTAAAGTGCCCAGATCTAGCCCTCTGATCTTGTGGTCCAATCAATCTGCATTATTCTGGAGTTTAAGTGTACTACACTTATTCAATTCAGTGGCATACAAAAACAACAAGATAATAGGGATGCCGCAAAGACCACAACAAATGTGCAAGTTAATGCTAGTTGTAAGCTTTACTGCATGTAAACTCCAAAACCTCAATAGTTCAACAAAACTTTAAGAAAGGTCTTACTTGGTTTTCCATCAAAATCAGAGAATCCGTCTTGAGTCCCATGCAGCTGCAGATGTCCTGATTTCATATACCAGAGGATTTACAATCACCCAGTAAAGCTAAAAGGAGAAAATACTGAACCCCAGCATCTCTTTTCCTCTCAATGCAATAAGAAATGAGACAGGCTTTATGAAAGCAGAAGCATGGATCATAAACAGTCACTTCAATTTGCTGAATTGGAATTGATGGACAAATACAAAGTTTTCCTTAAAGTTTTGTGGAACTGTTGAAAAGTTGTATGAATATTTAACATTCAACAGCAAATAGACTGGAAAAAAATATAATAAATGAGGTGATGTCACCTTTTAAAAATCAGGTCATTTTGCTTAAACTTTGGTTCAAGCATGAATTTTGCAGCAATATTTTCATCAACTCCCGGAACAGAAATTTATATTTATAATGGTTGTCAATAGGGATTATAAGCATTCAGATGATAAATACCATAAATTTTAGCTCTAACGCGAAGGCTATGTCTGCACTGGCGCAATCTTACGCCAGAAATATGCAAATGAGGCTGTCAGCTGACAGTCAGGGCAGTGTGTGTGTGTGTGTGTGTGTGTGTTACCGAGAAAAAGGTTTAACGTCCGTGCCTTTACCACTAAGACCGGGGTCCCGTCGTGGAGGGCAGCCAATAGGCTGACAGATGCCCCAGAATTTTATAGGAAGAGCTTATTACATCTCAGATTTCAGCTGCTAGGATACAGGATCCCTTCGCAGCGGGCAGTCTAGGGAAGACCGAGAGGTGCCCCAACGGACCTGTCACCTGGGAGTGACACGATCCAAAACGCCCAAGCTCTTCCT